GCACCACTGCTTTTTTGCAGATGATGTGGTTCTAATGGCTTCATCGGTCTGCGACCTTTAGAACTCACTGGATCGGTTCGCAACTGAGTGTGAAGTGGCTGGGCTGAGGGCCTGATGGAGGAGCCCATGCTGGGCAAAGCTGATACCAACTGCACAGGCCTAGTTTGTCACGTTATTTTACTAAATGTGTTTACTTATACATTTAATAGGTTTACACCTTCTGTCCATATGTGCTTTTTATTTAAAACATTTGATGAAGTTTTGGTTCACATTTCAATAAATTGTGTGAGGAGTCCAGTTCGGTCTCTCACTCTCTGGTCCAGCCTGTCTGCATCACCTGGACACCTTAAACAAACAGATATATATATATATGTAAAGTACCATGTGTACAAACAATATAACTGATTATCTTCTGTTGAACATGTTGGATTTTGTATTGTCCGAGTCAGGGTCCTTTTTATTTTACTGTAACTTTGGAAGTTGTGTTACCAATGCTTACTTTTTATTTGATACCCATTTGGTAATGCAATTAATAAAAACAACAAGGTTTGGGTTCGTTCTTCAGATGACTGTGACGTTAACGTGTAAGCTCAATAATGAACTCCAGCTCAACCAACCATATTGTAATCATCTTGAAATATGACATTAATAATTGTAATATACACACATCTTATTGTGAGGTTGATTTCACATACACTACTTTGACGTTAGCTTGTCTACATACTTGAGCATAGCCCATTTAAATGGACCTTGTACCGCAGAGTTTGCAACGTCACAAATAAATGGGGCCAATCTTCAGTCAGATGTGAATGTGTAATCTAACATTTTCAGTAAGAATAATGGACAAATGGAGTGCAAATACAAATACAATTGATTGAAATGTGAACCAAAAGTTAATCAAATGTTTTAAATAAAAAGCACATATGGACAGAAGGTGTAAACCTATTAAATGTATAAGTAAACACATTTAGTCAAATAAAGTGACAGACTAGGCCTGTGCAGTTGGTATCAGCTTTACCCAGCATGGGCTCCTTCATCAGCCCTGGTCCTCCTCGCAGAGGAAATACCCTCAGTCCTCTCCAAACCAACAGACAGGACGTCCATCACACGGAGGTTTCTCCCTGAAGTCTCTGCAGCTCTCTGGACACCACGCTGTCTCAATCCGTCCATCACACAGAGGTTTCTCCCTGAAGTCTCTGCAGCTCTCTGAACACCATGCTGTCTCAATCCGTCCATCACACGGAGGTTTCTCCCTGAAGTCTCTGCAGCTCTCTGGACACCACGCTGTCTCAATCCGTTCATCACACGGAGGTTTCTCCCTGAAGTCTCTGCAGCTCTCTGGACACCACGCTGTCTCAATCCGTCCACACTGAATATGAGAGGGGGAAAATGAAAATAATAAATGCTTTAGACAATAAGAAACATAAAGTTGACTGTTGAGTTGCTCAGTTTTTTTATATTGTCAATACTATTACTGTATAACTAATATCTCAGGTTAAGAGGCACATTCAAATAAAGATTGGTCTTTAAATACATTTTATCTTTTGAATTATTTGTCTAAAGTCAAGGATCTAGAACTGGTACTTAGTTTTAATGATACAGTCTGGTTATTATGCTGTTTGGAGGAAGCCTCACAGGTAAGAGCACTAACTAGCTACCATCACATGTACCTTAGCTTGACTTAAATGTATTAAACGTATAGTTAAGTGATATCAAAATATAAATAACTAATGTCATGCAAACATATTAATATTTGCTTGATTCCAGTGTTGAATTTAGCACAATTGCATACAAACGTTAAGGGGTTTTAAGATTCTGAAGTATTATGCTAAAAACTCAATAACTTAGATTATTATTTATAGTTTTGCTGAATAGTTTCATGTCCGCTTACCTTAGAAACGTAAAATGCGACGGCAGCGTGCAGATGGGGAGCATGTTAGCTTAGCTTGGTAGCTTCAGCTAGCTCTGGAACTTCCAGCTCGGTGGCTGCAGGTCCCGCCTCGGCTCCGCCTCTTTGCCCTTATTTGGAGCAGGCTGGAGAAGGCGGGAGTTGAACTCTGACGTCACTGTTGAGCCGTTAGTGGCCGACTCCGTCTACTAAGGGCTTCACGGCAGGGGCGGATCTACCGGGGTGGCATGGGGTGGCAACTGCCACCCTAAACAATAGCCTTGCCACCCCAGCTGCCACCCCAGTTGGCATCTTTGTTTTGAAAGAAAAGTTGTGGCTCATCGGACATTTATGAGAGAAAGTCTCTAATGTCCGAGTGCAAGTGAATGCAGCACAAGATGCACGTCCTGTAACCCCTCCCCCGGTCCTGGCGCGAGAGTGGAAATATGATTGGTGGCGAATAATTCACTTGAACGGGGGACGGCGCAAAACGAGAAGCCTTTCGGACCCAAGCACTGAAGGAATGAGGTATTTGCGGTCTACACTGACAGAGAAGAGAATGTCAAGTGTGGATGTACTCAGCATTGAATCAAAACGCACTACAGCTGTTGATCTTAATAAGTTTGTGAGGCGTTTTGCTGAACAAAATAGTAATCGCCGCATTCAGCTGTAATAGACATGCCAACTTGATGCTCTGCTCACGGATGACTCGATGAGAATAACAAACTGTTAAGATGATGACCTTGAATGCGTGTATATATTTTTTTCTTTGAGGGGGTCTGCCCCCAAACAACAGTTTTAAGTCCTGAGAAAGTAAAATAAGACGGTGTGTAAAACTACACTGCCCAGCCAACAGAAAGTAACCACTTTGATTTAACTAGGCCAGTAGGTAAGGACCTTCCACTGGATAATAACTGCAGCGATGTATATGTTTTAGCTGAATACACGTTGTTTTAACCCTAACTGATGCAGTTAGTCACTTCTTTAATGTTTGTTCTTTCTGATGTAAAGTCAAGGTTGTAACTGTATATCAATAATGATATAATTACTTGTTTTTCAAATTTGAAGGAGGGTGAGCAAGCATCTTGATGAACATTCATCATTAACTCCTCCAAAAAAATATAGTTTATTCAATAATAAATGAATATGTGAATCATAACAGTTCTTCACTATATCTGTAAAGCGTCTTTGAGCACCTGTAAAAACGCTAACAAATTAAATCTATTATTATTATTATTATTTATTAACAGTGATTGACAGCTGATAGGAATAATATGATTGTTAATATTATCATATTCATTCAGACAAACATCGATGAGACAGTTAATTAATGTACTTATTGCAGCAGTCTGTATATATTTGGTTCCCCTGCTGGTCTAAGAGTGAGACAAACTCATTCAGTTATTGTTCAGTTAAAATGCATTAAATTACGTCTGCCACCTTATATGTAAGGCTTTACTGATGTGCCACAATAATATCACCTATGTGATTGAGTTAAAATATTAATATTGTGGCTTTCCAAGTTAACATTGATTGTAGGGGTGTAACGGTTCACAAACATTTCGGTTCGGTACGTACCTCGTTTTTAGGTCACGGTTCGGTTCGGTACGTTTTCGGTACAGCAGAAAAAAAATCACAAAACATTAAATATTTTGTTTTTATTATTATTAAACTGACTAATGTATTCAAATAAATACAAAATATAGTAAAATAAACATTAAGGTGCAGCATTTCGATGAACTGAAATAATCTGTATTTGAACTGTACTAGTACCTGAGCAGCCGGCTTGACATTAGGACTGGCTTTTCATTGTATTTTCATGTTGTTCTAAAGAAAGATGAACTTGTCCACATTGCTTGCTGAAATGGCAGATCTGCTGGCACTAACAATGTCTCCTGCTGTGGAGAACACCCTCTCTAGGGACAGAGGTAGCAGACACAGCCAGGTAGCGCTTTGCTAACATGGCAACATAAGGATACTTGGCGTTTGTAATAACTTTGGCTCAGTCTGAACTTTCTGCGAGTGGTGGAGGCTTACATGCAGTGGGAGTTGGGTTTGCACTTCAGTCTTTTTTCTTTTGGTACCGGTGATATTCACGTTCGGTGATGCCTTTTTAAATGAGTGTGATGTATGGCCAGCCGTGTAACCAATGTTAGTTGAACAATGTCGACAAACAGCTTTGGTTCGGTCCACCTGTCTTTGTCCGTCATCCTTGTACGTAACTGCGAAACCAAAATGTTCCCAAACCGGAGACTTCAATGATGCTGGAGGATTTTCAGCTCAACTTTATCTGCGTTCGCCATTTCCTCAAATTACTGACTACATTTGAACGCATCCCTGTGACCAGCTCTCATAGTATGCCTCTCGTCCAATGAAATGACTTGGTCGCTCTATGATATATACCTGAGATTACTTCCAGAAAGTTGTTCTCAATTTTTTACGTTTAACGCTATATTCGTTCGGTACACACGTGTACCGAACCGAAGGGCCCGTACCGGATAATTTCAGTACGGGTACGTGTACCGTTACATCCCTAATTGATTGATATTATTGCGATTTCAATCAGCATATACTTCTGTCGGGATGCCACCCCTCAAAATCTCCTGCCACCCTCTTGCCACCCCATGAATATTTGTCTAGATCCGCCCCTGCTTCACGGCAACTCTGCAGAATCCTATGGGTGACGTCACGGACCCTACGTCCGACGTATGCGGTCTTCGAATGCATCCTCAGGAGGATGCGGCCGCTGAATTGGGACACAGCTAATGTCTATGGTTTGAACGCACCCTTTGTGTCAGGGTGGGCTATTTAAAATGCCAGTGCCCACTGGCTTGATGTTAGCCTGCTGCTAACATTGCTCGATTGCTAACAACACTTCTAAATCAACTTGTTGCTAATGTTGGGTTTCAACTAGATGCTAACATGTTTACACTGACGTCCTGTTTGACTTTGGTGCAGCAATCATTAGACAATAATTCCATCATTTGTGCTGTTTGCTGCCTGAAATGAACATCTCCACTGCAATGTCCTTCTTTAGCTGTGGTCCTAAAACGCCATTTAACACCGGAAGCAGTTTTCCGTCAGCTGTGGGACAATGGAAACTACTCCCAAAGATGTTGTACTGCTGCTTCACGTTACCAAAGTAAGCCCTGCCTTTGTTAACATGCTCAGTGAAGTCTTTGCTGCTGTTTCTCTGCTTGGTTGATTTATGAGTTATGAAACTGCTGGGTTTCGTGTTGTTACCCTGCAAGTGTGTGAGCAGCATGCTACTTTGATATACCTCTGGGCCTACATTTGATGCTCGGGTTGTAGTTTTTCTTTTTGTTTGGCACAGTCAATTACAATGCTTTTTAGATCTTTAGTTGAGCATGATATTGTGTATTGGCTCAAGAAAGGCAAACATGTTTATTCTTACTAAATTCTCATGGTAATCTCACTTAAAAGGTAATCTCGTCTCCATTTTCTCCATAGTAAACTGAAGTACTTCTAGTCAATAGGTTAAAATGACCGCTTTCTTTAGGGTTTCATACTATTACGGCTAACCTCCTGTGCTATGGTTTATGCATCACTCCCTCTTATTCATGTATTGTTTTTATTTCATAAACTGACATTCTATAATCATGCCATTCATTTTTTTTGAAAGTTTATAATGCACTGCCTGTCTTAATCTGCTGCTGCTGCTGTTGTACATCAGGGGGATTGTTAATAGATTAACTCATTTTGGTCCACTAGAAAGTACTTTCTCTTCATGGTCTATTGTGCCCATTGGGAAATTAGCACAGAGCAGCAGGTGCTTGTGGCTAAATTTAAATAAACTTCACATAATGGCAGGTGTTAGGGAAATATTTGTCTCTGCTCTGCTGGTCTATGGTTGTGGACAGTGGCGTTTTTATATGTACAAAAGTGGTGGGGCACAAAAAAATTAGATGTCTATATATAAGCTTCTGCAGTGACGTGCAGTGAGGTTCATGGCTGGTGAGGCACTGGCACTGACTCTTCAGGTTTACACATATTATATTTTGACCTAAATCAAAATATAATATTATTTTCAAAAGCTTTTTTTGTCTGATGCTTCAATTCATTTTAAACAGACAGTTCAACAAAAAGATACCGACATTTTTTAATTTTATCATTAAATATTGAATTGTTCTCTCTGAGTAAGATCCCATTTTCAATAGAATTGCGGTCTTACCTTGACTTGAAGATGAAGTCCATTTGCCTATCCTTCTGGACAAAAATCTCTATTACTTTTTTGTAAAAGTCCTCCTTATCTTCTTGTAGTTTCAAAAGTCTATCATAAATCTAATCGATAGATTTATGATTCGAGCATTTTAAAAGTAGGGTAGACATGTGGATATTATCCGGCTGAACAAAACGTGCATTTATCTAACAGGTACGTTTCCCACAGATCTTATTTTGAGCTATTTTCTAAAATCCGATGGAGAAATCTCATTGCTTTTTTGTCGAGGGAAGCCATGCGCAGCTTACTTCCCGGGTTTTAGGAGGCGTCACTGTAGCTCTCTCGTCTCCTCTTCACACACCACACTTTTCGCGGCACACAGCCAATCAGCTCTGAATTATGTGAGATGACGTATGGTGGGGATGGCAGCTCTATGCCCCTATGGTCATTATTTTTTGCCACACACATTAAATAGGAAAATACTCTGAGCATGCGCAGTGTCGTTTTTACAGTCACCGTTCACTTAGACAGTGAGAGGGAGGGGCATGATCGGGTTTTGTCCCACATGGCTCTAAACAGCTCAATAGGCACACACTGTAGATACTAATTAGAAGAACACAGACTAAAACAGCAATGTACAGACGAATCAGATGATTAAACATGATCTTAAAATATATTTTATATATATATATTAGTTTTTTTTGCATTTTTTTGTAATCATTATATTTAATACTTTCTGCTGACACTAGGTGGGGCTGTGCCCCACCTGCCCCTAATGACCAGTCGCCACTGGTTGTGGAGTAAAGCAGCGTCAAGATGCCAAATAGCAGTTCTGTAAAACTTAGTTTGAACATGATCCATTTGCTGAACGTGTGTTTGCTGAATGAATTCGCATTTCCTTAAACATTTGTGTCATTAATAGGGTTGCGCAATGTCTTGTTTTTTTAAGGCCTGTGTGTGGTCAAAAAGGTAGAACTGAGCAGTACATCTGTTTATTTATTATCATCTCATGCTTCAATATTCAACAATGTTATTGCATATTTTCCTAGTATCTTATAACTCTATTCAATAGCTTTGTGATATGCTGAAAAACAGACACTGATATTCTAATTTATTTTATTTCACTGGGGACTAAAGTGTCAGCTTGATGCCCAGACTGTAATGGTCTTGGGTATTGCTGTGGAAAAGATCATTTACATTGTATAGTCTTTAGTTTATGGGAGTCTTTTCCTTTGTCTAAGCTATATTGAAACATACTGTATGTGAGATTTATAGCTGGAGTCTCCAAGTAACAAATGGTAATGATGTCACTTGGCAAGTATAATAAATCCACTATAAGTTTAGCAGCTTTAGTCAGGTCTATTCCCTGTCCACAAGGAGCTCTTAATTACTGCTGATAGGGTCATAAGGGGCATCTTCTCTTCCAAGAAAAACATTGAAACTATGGACAGATTTTCAACACTTTTCCTAAATAGTCTAGAGAGCAATAATTTCCCAATATATACATATCAACATGTTTCCCATCTTGCTGTACATCATAGATATTAATCATATGATTACAGTGTTTTGAACCAGTCAGACAAGTTTAATGATAATATTCAACTTGTTTAGTATAACACTGACACAACTCTGAATAGTTTTTGACGTGTTACGAATTGTAATGTGGGATTACAACATTTCTCTCTTCTGGCCTGAATGTGAAACATCCGTGTGGACCACACGGTAAGTCTCTCCCTCGGGCCAATTTTAGCTCTGCAATGTTGTCAAATTGAGATGCCCATTTGATATCACTATGATGGCAAGGAATGCTTGCAATGCCACTCCTGTTATTTTTACAGAGTTCAACTGGATCACACATTGTGGGGAACAAAGCAGCACAGATATTTTGACAGATTTTTAAACGGCGGTGAAGTATTATTAATCTACTCTCTGTATACAGTTTAGCTAATTGCTTGACATTTCTTTTCAATATTAAGTCCCCTGATTTTAAGATGTCTAATATTTCAACTGTAGAGGTGTTTGTTATGATAATTATGTTGCTATCTAAGCCCACCATCTGCCAGTCCCTTTTACATTTCTGGAAAATTGACTGAACTTTCAAACATCAACATGGTTGGTTTAATAATTGTTGTCCTCTCCCTGCCATACACTGAATCAGGGCTAAAACAAAAAGGACCATGAAAGCTGTGAGAGAACGGAAGACCTCTAATAGGAGTTGCAGAGGGAGGATCAACAAGGTTTAATATAGAGCCAGTAAGGTATTTTGGGACCTGCATTTCAAAGGTAAAAATACCTCCCTAGACACTATTACAAACTAGGACACCATTGCTCTAAAACAATGATTTAAGAAAAGACATGGAGTTAAAAATGTAGCATCCGGCTGAAATTGACGGTCAAACATTCATAGGATCAGTAAAATATACAAATAACAATTTTTGAAATGTAACAAAAAAACCTCTGAATACTTAAATCCATCAAAGCAATGCCATTAGGAATAGACCTCTCAAAAGGAATTATTTTATTATCGGCAGATTTTCTTTTTTTTAATCAATTAATTGTTTGGTTTTGAAATGTCATAAAATATTGAAAAATATCCATCCAAGTTTCTCAGTTTTTCTTAAAATCCAGTTTCTAATGTCTTTTTTCAGTAAGAAAACAAAAGATATTTAGTTGAATACATACAGGAAATATCTATTTAACGGACTGAAATTGGCATTTAAGAAATACTCTAATGATGAATCCATTATCCATTGGGAATTTCTTGACTTATCAGTTCTACAATCCAAATCTATAAACGGATCAGTGAAGGCCCAGGGGTTTCCCCATGTGTTTTATAGGAATCAAATGTGAAATATACTGATATCGTCAGTGTTGTGCTCTATCACAGTCAGAAGAACTGGGGAATAGAAATATGAACTTTGGAGGTTGGCCCCCACTGTATGTGAACAGCTCTCACCTTTCTAATCTTCAAGAAAAACACAGCCAACAGGCTCTTCATTTACATTAAAAACAGACTCCTTTGTTTGCAATTAACTTTTGACTTGTGAACGTTTGGCACAGTGTGTCATTTGGCCTTGTTCAAAGCACTTAGCTTTGGCTCCCCTCCTCATTACGTGGGCTTGAAAACATTTGTTGATTCTCAGCATCCACAGCTTGTTGTCAGATTCATTTAGATCTATAAACCTCTCTGAGGGTTGTGTCTCCAATGGCCTAGCATGATGTCTGGCTGCGTTACCAGATGTTGAAAAGTCAAATTTGGGGCCTGCCGCTACCTCTCCTCTCTTTCTGCAACTTCTTGGCCCGCTTTCATTAAATACTTCACTTCTCACAAACTAGCCTGAGCCAGTGAATGTGTTCACAAAGGACTGAAGGCCCTGTTGCATACATTTTGCATTGTGAACTTATTCTGTCACAACAAAAGTGGTTGACAGAAAAAACATGCTATGCTTGCAACTGCAACGAAGAGCAAGTGATGATGAGAAAAGCTGAATCGGTTTGAAACAAGACCTCATACAGATATAAGCATAAACAGAAATGTTGTGTTTTCATAGGATGCTTTATAATTAGGATATTCAGCTTTACAGTATGTATCTTGCTGTTCAGTTTTATTAAGGATCTATTACAATTTAGCAGCATATAAATGAACTTTAAATGTATTTTGTAAGGCCTTCTTATTTGAGGGCATAATGTTATCAGCAGCATAAACAGCGGCGGTGTCTGTGGAAGATGGTAATCACAGTGATGCTAATACAAAAGGAGCTCTATACCACCATAATGAACTGATCTTAACTGAACTCATCTTTAAATCTGACATATGTGTCACCATAATCCATTGCTTTAAAAGCTGTCTTGAATTTAGGACAGCATCAATACAAAATGTAAGGAGGTTATTTTTATACAGAAACAAAATAAAGAAGCTGCATCTCATCAAGCATTAAGGAAGATGCCAAAGAACATTTCCACAGCTTTCTGGAGATTGCTGTCGCCAAACAAGAGGCATGAGGGTTGAAAAAAAAATTGAAACAACTACGACCAAGAGAAAATGTAAGTCGGTAAACTTTTGGGTAAAGAGGACTGAGAGTATGCCTGACTGGGGGTTCAGATTGAAAACAGCTGCATGCATGTTGTTTAAGGTTGACATTATATAAGATCTAGGAGCGGCAGTTTCTTCATAATAAATCCGAGTTTGAAGACTAACCAGAGACAAAATCAATACACAGCAGTTTGTGTGGAACTGGATTTCACAGCTTCTGGAAGTCATCAGGTCAAATTAGTTTGTTTTTTTGTTCTCTGATGATCAGGTAAACAGTTGAATTTCCAGTATATGATCTACATAGGCCCTTGTGTTGCAGTAATGTCTTTACAGACAGAGAATACATTTTTTGCTGGATTGACCTAATTAAATGGTATTAGGTATTTACGCATTGCTGTTGTCTGTCTGAAAACCGCCCAAGCACAATTGATTGAAGCTGTTGGCATAGCACTGAAACAAAACCTGAAAACAAAGACAAAGAACCAGAGGTAGAAATAATAAAGTTCACATTAAGGCAAAACAGCCAGAATGTGTTAGACCAATTGCAGACTGTCAAACATGCAAACATTTAACCCTTTTAGAAAACAGTCCAAATGAAGCTTAATTTGTCCTGTCCTTTTTCTCCCCAAAACGTGCTAAATACAGCTCTGCAGCAACTATACGGCCACTTTAACTGATGGACTGAAGTTGTCTCTTGTTTGTCGTTCCTTTCGGTTCACAGTGTGATTGTCTGATCTTGTTCCTTTAGTTAACTTCTTCACCAGCGCCCTCTCCACTCATTAGCAGCAACTGTCTTTTGTATTTTAAATGATTTGTAGCAGAACCATTCCAATATCATTTAAATGATACAAAGACAGTGTTTTTACAATATCTTAAAACATTCCCCCATCTTTCGTTCTGTATCTTTTTCTCTTCAGGTGAAATAGTTGTTATGATCATCAGTATAGCAGTATGTCAAGTTCTCACACATTTTACACATTGTAAAACAAGCAGACAGTATTGTTCATATCACTTCTTTAAACTAGGGTACATTTACAACAGAATAATATGATGTTCTGCCATTTTGTATCAAAGATTCAAAGTTTGTGTTAAAAAAGCTCAACAAATTCTCAGAAACACTATTAAAGCAGCAGACAATCAGGAACTGGGCCTAATTTCCAGTTTAGCATCAAGGTCTGTGAAGTCTCTGCTCCAGGGAGTGTCAGAAGATCAAAAGCAGGAGGCATTACAGTCAGGAAATCCCAATTATATATCCTATAATAAATTGCAGTCATTAGCGTGCAGGTTATTGAGTCAGTGGCGACTTGTGATTGGCCAAGCCTACTCGTTAGGTTATGTCCAGCCAATCGGGTCGCTTGTGGGGTTTGCAGGTGTGAACGTCTACCAAGTCCTCGCAGTCTTGGCACTCCACAGCGCAGCACCACTTGAACTTACACTCGCACTTGGTGACCCGTTTGACTCGCATGGTGTCGTAGCCCCGCCCACAGCACATGACCTCACAGCCGTCTGTGCCTCTCGAGGACTTGTTGCACACTCTGCCTGCTGTGCCCAACGACCCTGTAAGAAAATGGGTATACTTTTTTAAATGCTTGCATAATCAAACCACAAATGTGGTTCAGAACAATGTTGGTCAGTATAGATTATGCCCCTTATTAGCCCACCATACGTTGTAAAAACCTTTTTCGGGGCTGACATTTTACATCAATTTAAAAATGAGTACATTTAAAAATAAAAAAAAGACATGCTTATTAAGCTGCTTAAAAGTAGGGTAGGTAAGAATGGAGAAACCAGCTCGAGTGTGCTAGCATTTGAAAGTACACAACCGGAACAAATCTGCCCCTTCCTTCAGACTTCCTTACAGAGCCCCTCCTCCAACACACACGAACGCGCACATGACCAATGAGGGCACGAGATAAGTTTGTGCACAGATGGAAGGCTGACAGGCAGGTAGGCCATCCAGTTATTTTAGCCGGGCCGGATGAATTTGTTTTATGTATTTATTGTCAAAGCATTTCATATATTCATTGCTATCGGGATGTTAAGAGCATTCCATGGAATATAACAAAAAGTGTTTCTGAAGTGAATTACCTACCCTACCTTTAATAACCGTGTGCTGCTAGGTTCAGTACTACGGTTTAATTATATGAGCTTTTTGCTGAATACTGATTCATGGCACTGCCATAATAAAGTTGGAAATAAGGTTTATGATATTTGTGGTTATCCTTTATACAATTGTATATCATTAGTATTGTAGTCATGAGACAACACTTTGATCAAACAGTGAAACTATTTTTCTTCTTGTATTTACTATTTATGACTTGCACTATATTTGTCTGTTTATCTGTGTTTTGTGTTGCACTGTTGGAGAAGCATGTGGCACAAGATTTGCATCGACATAACTACACTGTAGCTATGTTCGTTTGACAAATAAAGAACCTTGAACCTTGAAGATTTTAGTGTTGCAGGTTTTGAGGTTAACATATCAGCCTGAATTCAGTCAGTTTAAAATCACACGCATTTCTATTTTATACAAATATATGCTCATCTTTCATTTTATAGACCAAACTATTAATTGATGTGTGTAAAATATTATGCAGATTCATCGATAAGGAAAATAATCTTTAGTTACAATTACAATTTGAGCCAATGATACAAATGTGTGCAGCTTTAAAGGCATTAGAAACCTCTTTTTGAAGTGTAAACGATATGTATCTTTTATATTGCACATACAGTAACTCTAGTCACTCTTCTTCTCTTTCATGGGTTATTATCAGATCAACTTTGAGTTGCTAATGTTGGCAGGTGACCACCTCTCAACACTCTATTTTTCCAAAACAAAACATTATGATTCCCACACTGTTCTGCAGAGTATTGGCTTACAGGCAGACACACTGACAGAATAGTCTCACAAACACAAAGGTGTCCATGTACTCAGGTGTAAAATGTAAGCCTAGGATCAGATGCCAAATCTAATAACAGAGTCTCCCTGAAGTAAAGGAAAAAAGATAAGAGGAGATATTCCCCTCAGGCTCTGGGGAGTGGAGCCTAATACTGACCAAAAGAAGGATTTGAAAAATAACCCTGCATGTATCCTAAGGCTATGAATTCCTATACAATGGAGATTAGTAAGAAGGAGGGTCATAAACTTCTTTTAAGATCACCTTTTAACAAGGAAAGAGGGCACTTCCTTTGAGTGAACACACCTACATTACTCCTTGGTTGTCAAGCTGCAAACAAACCAACAGCAGGGAGGAGCGGGAGAATCTGGAAGTACCATATGCACAACGCTATCTTACCTAACCTATTAACAGTAAGCTAGTGAACTCCTTCACGCTCTGTTGAAGGGGAGTGGAGGAGAGACACAGAGCTTAACAAGGTAAAGCAAACTCTGAGAATTAAAGGAGATGTTAAAGGTCAAATCATTGAACGTTAAGCTGAGAAGGAATGCAAACCTTCAGTAGGTATTAAAGCAGATTTTCAGGAAGAACCACTTGTCTCATTACAAAACATTTAATTGTACAATGTTTTGCTGATGTAATACCTCTATAAAAAATAGGTGTATGTATTAATTAAGAAATAATCAACACACTTGGAATGTCACTATCACTAAGTTGTTTTGACCCCATGTCCAAGTACTTTTTAATATTGCTTTTTTTTTGGTAAAACAAGTCCAATTGCCTTTGTTTTAGCTGATACCGATTCATTTAAATATGCCAGGATCCCCCTTAGGTATGATCCTTAGGTGGAATTTGGTGATATTGGCTTATTGCACATTCGTATTGGCATGTATATATTTGCGGAAAAAGGGAAAAATCAATCATTTTAGAAATGGTGAAATAACAGTTTTTCCTCCAGAGAGCACTGACAAGTTTTTTGTTTTTTTTACTTAAAAGTGCGGTAGGTAATTTTGGAGAAACCAGCTCGAGTACGCTAGAATTTGAAAATACACAGCCGTAAAAAATCTGACACTTCCTTACAGAGCCCCTCCTCCAACACACACGAACGCGCACACGACTAATGAGGGCACGAGATAAGTTTGTGCACAGATGGAGCGGGTGGCGCAGTGGTCTGTGCATCCGATCATCAGATCAAGGGGGAGTGCTGGGGAACTCCAGTTCGAAACCCGCTCCTGCCGCCACTGCGTCAGGCCGTTGTGTCCTTGGGCAAGACACTTCACCCGAATTTGCTCCTGTGGGTAATGTCCACAGTACATGTATAATACCAATGTGTACCTGTAAAAGCGCCTCGATGTCTTCGAGGCGTGAAGATGGACGGTGTGGCGCAGTGCGCTGTGCAATGATCATCAGATCAAGGGGTGAAACCCGCCGCTGCTGCGTCTGTAAAGCCGGTGTGTCCTTGGGCAAGACACTTTACCTAAACTTGCTCCTGTGGGTATTGTCCACAGTATCTGACCATTGCATGTATCATATATGTGTAATGTGTGTATATGTAAAGCGCTTGGAGTCATTGATAAAGCGCTATAATAAATGTAAGGAATTATTAATTATTATTAGATGGAAGGCTGACAGGCAGGTAGGCCATCCAGTTATTTTAGCCGGGCCGGCTCAGATGATTGGTCGTGCTTTTTACAGTACCACGGCTTCCACAGATGACATGTTTTATGGATTTTTTGTCAAAGCACTTAAGATATTCATTGCTATCGGGATGTTAAGAGCATTCCATGCAATATAACAAAAAGTGTATCTCGAGCCGGTTTCTCAAACTTACCTACCCCACCTTTAAGCATGGTTACAAATGAAGGAATGCAGGGGAAGATATGTCTGACTCTTTAAAAGTAATGTTGAAGTGAAACTGAGCTATAAATGTGTCTATATACATTTACAGACCACATCATATCATATTATTTTTTCTATGTGCAAGTATCAAACATATTACACTTTGCAAAGAGCTCCTCATTAGTCCCCCTTTTTCACCTAAACAACCATAGTCTCAACCTACTTCTTCATTCACTCCTTCACTCACCTGCGGGGCGGTCCGTGAGACAGTAATCTGGTGAGTTCTCGACGTAAACCAACTCATTCTTGGTGCTTCCCTTGAAGTCCTTGTCAGCCACCATGAAGCCCGTCCCATCCTGGTTCATGGTCACCTCGATGGCTGTGTTGTACTTCTTGCGCAGGTAGTCCCCAGTTCGCCTGAAGTCAGCCATGGCCAGCCAGCAGGTCCTCAGAGAACAGGAGCCACTGACCCCGTGACACTTGCACTCCAGCTTCATAAAGCGCTTCACTGCCTGGAGCAGAGGTCAGAGGTGACAGGGTGTTAATCCTAAAATGCTGCCGGTGGCCTGATGAAGGTGTGATCAGTCCTGCGTCACTGTGACTGGAGTTTAATTTAAGTTAAGTTAAGTTCCTTCAGAGATCTGATGAAATATCTGTCTTGTCTGGGTTTAACTAAAACTTCTGATAAAGCTATTCACACTTTATGCTGTTGGGATATTTGATCTCACTTTGTTGCCCGTGCCATTGCCTGTACAAAACCCCAGATCATTATTATACTCTTGTTCTATTAAATGTCAGATCTTTAACTTTAAGCATACACTCAAAATCTTTGTAGGACTACGTAAATTAAAAGTTCCCTAATGGTGTTTATTTGTTTATAGTGCGATATTCATGATTGTAATATATGTTGTGAAAGGGAATTTACTAGAAATGTGTTTAAGATTGGATCTTCTAGCTGAAATGCTCATTCAACGGAAATCTAAGCAGCAACATTGTTAATTAACGTTACTGCCCATATTCAAGCATAACTAAATTAAATGATATCCTTCGGCATTTGCAATACAGATAAAGCTTTCTTTCTTTAAGGCTTATTGGACAAAAACAAATAAAGAGACAATATGTACATCATGGTTTTAGAGACAAAGATAAATCAATGAAATTATAAATAAATGGCAGTAATTATTATAGACACATGCATTTCCAAACATTTGGTCTACCGATGCTGTAAAATGAATTATCTTTTCGATTTACACACGGCATCTAGTGCACGTCTGTCCGTCCTGGGAGAGGGATCCCTCCTCTGTTGCTCTCCCTGAGGTTTCTCCCATTTTCCCCATTAAACTGTGGGTTTTCTCCGGAAGTTTTTCTTTGTACGATGTGAGGGTCTAAGGACAGAGTGTGTCGTATTGTCATACTGATATTCTGTACAAACTGTGAAGTCCACTGAGACAAATGTAACATTTGTGATATTGGGCTATATAAATAAACATTGATTGATTGATTGACTTTATGTAAAATCACCTGTTGGGAAAGCCTATCTTTTCCCTATCCAGTTAAATAAATGTCTGGCAAATAAATGTGTTATCATATTAATGCAAAAATCAAGAACATATAGCTTTCATATGTAACTCTTCTGGAAACTCTTGAATAAGCTAAGAAAATGCTAGAATATTGAAGATATCAAAAATGGATTTTCATGCTGAAGTTTGATTTGCAAGACTGATTACAATGGTTTACCTAACTTAAGTATTAAAGGGATGTCTAATGGGATACTTGATAGATACCATTTAAACCACTTACATTACCCAAGCCTATTTGAGCGTTTTCCTGAAAATAATTGATGGTGTCCATCCAATATAAGGAGGTGAGATATGGTGAAATGTGCTCTTGTCTCTCATAAGGCGCGTTCACACCGCAGTACTTTAGTTCCGATATAGTTCCGAAATGTCGCGTTCACACCAATAAAATGTGTTCATGAGAACTTTTTTACCCCCTTTTCCGTCCCTGTTAGAGAGCAGGTACTTTCGTGGGAGAAAAAGGTTCCTATGTCTGATTGGCTGGGCGGAATGCAAACCACGGCCCGTAAAACTCCCAAAAAGTTTTGTGAAGCCGCCATTTTATTATCCTCGCATTATTAGCAATAGCATTACCCCAGCGCAGAAACGCAGAGAGACTAACTTGTGGCAACACAAAAGAGGTGGAGATGAGGAGGTGTCGGCGTTCTGCCAATTTAATCGGAAGGCCAGTCCCCAACTCCGGGGACTTCCGGCCGGGGACTTCGGGTGGCAGTATACGCCGTGAAGTTGTTTGCGGCCTGCCAGTAAACCCAAAGCAGAAGAAGAAGAAGTGACGTCAGCGGCTTCATTTACCTAATCCTCCCCTAGGGACTTATTCCGGTGTGAACGCGATCTGTACTTAGTTCATGAGAACTAAAGAGTTCTCATGAACTAAGTTCTGATTAACCTTTGTGGGAAAAGTACTGCGGTGTGAAAGTGCCTATTGTAACTTATAGTCAAACACATGTTTAAAGTCTAGAAATACGTCTCTCAACTTCAAAACAGTGGCTAAGCTCACTCTAAGCTGCTGCTCACCATACGACCGCAGCGGTTGTTGTGCAGGTTCATCAGCGCACGAGCGTCTTTCACCATCCTCTCTCGAGCGTCTACGAAAGCCTTGGCAAATTTGATGCCGTAGTTGATGTTGTCGCTGCATCCACCCCAGTCGAAGTTGCCCCTGTCATCGCTGGCTTGCCCCCGCTTCTGGCCGTCGCAGTTGCAGATCTTTAGCTCCCCCTGGCTGCAGGCCCTGGTAATGGCGTAGACCACTCCCGCCGAAGAGATTGCGTACACAAACGCTGCCTCACGGCTGCCTGGGTGAGCAAAAAAGAGAAATCGTGAAGTTAAAAGCTTTAGAAAATAGTTTAATATGTTTAATGGAAGATTGTTTGCAGATTTTTGTAATACTCTCTATTTGATGTGTGTTCAAAACTTCTCGGAAACGCCATGACTGGTTTCGTCTCTCTCTCTTTGGTAAGATTCAAGCTATTCTTTTTGTGCCCAGGTTCAAGGTGTTACTGATGAGTACAGTAGCCTTGGTCTAATATATTCCAGACAGCAGGAGCTCAGAAACCAGTCCATTTATGGTGGATGGACCAGCAGCATGTCAACTATAACATCACAGTCGACTCTACTTTCACCTTTTATTTTGCACAGATGGCATCTTTCTCAGTCACTGGGCTGTGTTTTCATTTCAGACAAGAGGAGATTTTTGGGGGTTATTTGGTCTGGCTTTCCCACCCACCTCCTGCTCTCATTCCTACTCACGCAATGAAGCAGAACACAGGCGATATGTCAGGGAGTAAAGCTTTGTCTGGCTGCCAGAAACATCTACCCAAATATTTACATCTCCTATTACTGTTTATACATCCCCAGTGTGGATCTCTCGATCTGCTACTTGTTTTTCGGGAAACCGTTCACTTTCCCAATCTTCTCTCATTCCAGGGAAGGTAAAACACGCACAGCAATTTCTCTTTCTGTTTGTATTCTAGGGAAAAGTTGAATTAATAAGATCCCTATTAATTCTCTGCTTATCTTGTAACAGCGGAGACATTTACGAGGATGATTAACTGGAGTGTCACTGACATACACAAACACTGTCACGCACATACAAAGAACCACACAGATAGAAATCCCATTCAAACATTTGCAGACTCACTTCGCAGCATCACCCTGCCAAACACCGTGTGGTCTCGGTCTAGCGTGCTGCAGTTCCAGCGGTGGTTCCTGAACTGGTGCTGGCACTCTTTGATCCACTCTTTGGCTCCCTCTCCGATGGACTGCATCAGGTCTGGGTGCCGCTGGCAGAGCTGCCGCTGCTTGTTCACCAGGCCGGGAATGTTGTCGCAGATCACTCGAGCACCTAGCGCCCCAATGTACCTGCAGACACATAATAATTCACAATGAGTTCAAGCGGTAGGGTTAGAGTCACACACAATGTTTGTTTGTCATATTAGCCTGTACTAAATGGTATAGTCTTATCTTCTGTCTCAAGTTTGAGAAAAATACATTAAGACATAAAAATAATGTTTTCATTGTTTTCTCAGATGGGTCTTATGACGTATACCGCTGCTGCCAATAGAGTGGTGCAGGGATGACGTATTTACCCGGAAATAAGCTGCGCATGGGTTCCATGGATGTATAATAAGAACTGGATACAGCGTGGGAGGCGGGGCCTTGTTCATTCCTATGAGAGTTACTCAGTAGCGTATGAAGACAAAATGGCCCAACTTTTGAGAGAGCGAAATGTCACGAAAGTAATCATATAATCCGTTCTTATTGTGCATCCATGGGTAAAGGTAAAACTCATGTAGTACTGAACACGTCACATGAACGTGCGGGGCGGCGCGGTCCCGTGGGTTAGATCCGTGTTCATATAGCAGAGGAAAATAACTCTCAGACTAACGTTATTAGCACATTTTACAACTTGAGGACCGCATTTTTTTAATAAGGGCTATACAAATGTTCATACTGGGTAGTTTAAAAAAAAAATATCCAACGATTTACAGACGTCTCTTTCCCAATGTTAGTCAATGGGGAAAAAGTATTTCCGGGCCCAGCGACTGATACGGAAGTGTAGTACCGCCGTTTGGCCACAACGAATATTTTCCTCAGAGTCCGGTGCACTTCATGGGGGCTTGATGGGTTCCCTCGACAAAAAAGCAATGGGATTTCTCCATAGGATTTTGGAAAATAGCTCGAAACAAGGTCAGTGGAAAACAAACCTGTTCGATAAATGCACGTTTTGTTCAGCCGGATAATCTCCACATGTCTACGCTACTTTTATAATTTTCAAATCATAAATCGAATCGCCAACAGCAAAATGCTAACATTATGCTATAAACGAACTACAGCCGAGTACAGCAGGGTAGCACGACTTCAACGTCACGCCAACTTAAGATCGATATTCAAAAATACAGATTCAAAATGGTACAAGTTTTTTGTTTTAACAGTTTGCAAGAGCGCAGGTGCCTGCTTTCAAGCAGAACAGGGAAAACTTAGCGGGAGTGTTTACTGTTCGGCATAATGACGTACAATGTCCTCGACAACTTCTGTAGTCCTATTCAGCCACTTGTTAACAACTATCGTTTTTCAGACACGTAAACTCTTAAAAAATCCCCAGTGGGGGTCACTGCTGATGTATTTAATGTCGTAGAACAAAACGTGATCCGTCTCTTAAATGTGTGTCAACCACCATAGACCTTATTTCCAGCTATTTTCCGAAATCCTATGGAGAAATCCCATTGACTCTGAGATGAAGGAACCGGTAGTGGTAAAATGCTAACTCACTTCTGGGTTTTAGGACTCGTCACTGCACCACTCTATAGATAGTCTTAATAAGCTACATGTATGCGTTGAAGTGGTACATTAACGTTAAGTAAATCCAAATCCAAATAGTTTTCCTCATTTTAAATAGCTAAATAAATGTCATTTATTTTAATATATGATTTAATGTAAGTGTTACAGTCAGCGATTATGTTATTTCAGCCATTTCTCAACGGTTTGTTGACTTTTCTGTAGTTCTTTAGACCATTTGAATCTGCTAGATATTCCTGATATCTACAACTTCTTGGTTGGGACTAGTTGCACTAAGTGGCACTTGCTGACTTTTCTAACTTTGGTTTCTGTAGTTACCAAGGCAAATACAATGTGTTGGGGAGATCGGCAGTCACGGTAGGAGGATTTTGTTATTTTTGAACAGAGATTGTAAATTGTTCCCAATCTTTATGCTAAGCTAGTTTAGCCTTCAGCTGTTCATAGGTTTATATTTAGTGTACAGAAAAGAGAGCCATATCAATCTTCAAATCAAACTATTAGCAAGAAGCGAATAACGGTATCTCTCAAAATGTCCAACTCTTTCAAACGAGATTAGCATTAGCATTGAACTCCTACTAGCATGCCTATTTTTTCACATCCTACCCCTCTCTATACTTGAGACTCAGATATTCAAGACAGAAGAGATTATTAAATTCCTCCCGTTCAATGAAAACCTCTCTCCCTGTGACAGGCTTTAGCTTCCTGCTCTATTCAGACATAATCCCTTACTTTTGTAGCAACTCTTAAAAGGTTGGATCACATGCTGGTGATACTGTGACACTGGGGGGGCTCTTATCAACAGGACATGAGGACAGTCATCTACAGTGCAAGTGACCGCTCAGGCCTTTCCCTCCCAACCACACAGATGAACCATATGCAGACACCCCCACCCGCCCCCAACCTCCCTCTCTAAGCCTGCACGCTCCACTCTCCATCCGGATATCATTATAGTCCTTAATCGCAGCCACATTTGTGTCGCCTGGCCACCGAGACAGAAACGGACGTAGCAGGCAGTTTCCACTCCTGTTATGGCTGTCCCATGCCCGTTTCACTACGACTATCTGCTTGAGCAGTAAAGCAGAGCAGAAGCACTACTTGTGTTTATTGTGTGTTGTACACATCGGCTGTGCCAAAAGACCCCTGACTGTCTCCAAGAGGACACACACATAGAAGGGAAGAGGGAAGGGGGTCCTGTACAGCAAGACACATGGTTCTCATCTAAATTATCTCAATGGTTAAAAATAGGACCCAACAATGAGAAGCTGGATTAAATAAGTATTAAAGACAAAGCTTATTTTCGTTCAAAGTGTTTCTTCGTCTTTCTCTCTCTCTGGAATGTCTAAGTTATTTAATCGTAGTTTTTTTCACAATGTATTTGCATAAGATAGAATTACACAATGGAAAATAGGATAACATATGCTTTCCGCTCTCTTGGGAAATTACCATTAATAACTCTATTTACAAAGGGTGCATGTTTAATCTAAACCCGTCTGTAAATCAGAAGCTGATTGGTATGTGGTGCAGGGCCATAATTCAAACATAAAGGAAGAACATGTACAAATGTGTACTGCTTCAATGTGGTTGGTTTGATATAAAGTACACATCAAATATAATTTGAAAAGTGTGTCCTGAGACGTGAGAACAACTATTTCAGGTGGGTGGGATAAGGAGGGGGGGGGGGCTACTTTTTTTTTTCCTCCTCTGAGACTTTAAAACCTCAAGAGCAAATCATCAAGGGGCATTTATTCATGCACCAGCGCCTGCACCTGCCACTTGCTCTGGGCAAGATTGATGGATAGGGGAGATTCCCCCCAATACCATTAATCTTCATAAACACACACACACACACACACACACACACACACACACACACACACACACACTTTGCTGCACTGAAGATTTCACTTTGCAATGATATTTAAAAGAAATAATTAAATGACATCAGCAACAAAAAAATCCCCTTGCAGATGAAAGCGTTGCATTTGATCCTTTTATTGGACTACACAAGTATTTTTTTGGAGGTTTGTTTGCAAGAAAAAACAACTGAATCCTTTTTAATGACAGAAATAAAAACACTGTTTTAAAATAATCTAAAAAAGTTAGGTGCACACCCCCTTTTTGTCTTTCAATGTTTTTTTTCATTTAACTGACAAAAAAAATAATGGATAAACTTGAAAGTAGCCTATATTTATGAATTTGGTTAGACATTTTGCATTATGACCTTTTTGTATCTATAACGTTTCTCAGGTTATTAGTTTTACATACTTTTATCAGATAAGTGTATGTAATCTAACACATGGTTGTTATTAAACTCATCTCAGTATCAGCAATATAAAAGTCAGAAATCTCACTCACCACCACGATGAATCCACCCTCGGTGTGAATATGAGCAGCAGGAAAATAAATATGAAGTGTATTTTAGAAATAGGTTTGGAGTGATGTTGGACTTTTGTCCCATGTCTGATCCTCATAGTCCTGCTGCTGTCTGATAAACTCCGAGATTTCGTCAGACAAAACATGTTTCTTCCTTTCATTTGTTGGCAAAAGCTGCACAACCAGGTGTGAAAGTCCTTGATTGTTTGCCGTCCATCATCGGGAAAATAAAAAAACCGTCACAAGGAGGGACAGTGTTTTATACTCCACCAATTACTATTTAATAATGCCAAATATGTTTTCTGTCAGTACATCCATAATCTTCATTGGCGTTGGGAATTCTAATTAATAAACGAGCAGAATAATCCTTCGTTTCACATGTCTCTGAAAGTCATACATTCATCTTTTTGACTCAGTCGTACCGAATTTAATGCCCCAAATCTTCAGACAAGTACAGAATCCGATGCTGTAACACAGAAGCAAAATCCGTAAAAGTCGCTTAAAATTAGATCCAAGTCGATTGAAAGACCAATTTCTGAGGATGCCACAGACATTGTGCGCACCTTCCCTCCTGTAGTCCGGAATGAAGATGCGCACCGAAACACGCAGCGCTCCGCTCCAGTGCGTAAGCTGTCTGCGACCCGCTACCTCCCCCCAACCCCCACCCCTTTGTCTGCAAATTACAAGTAGCGGTATGTAGACCAACAGACAGCAGTATGGGAGATGTTTATATTTAGTTTGATGGAAAAATATCCCTGACTGTAATGTCGAGGGTTAAAAACCAAGGCATCCAACTTGTTGCCACTTTAGAACAACAGCACGATGGACCATAATAATACAGTATGCCAGCACACACCTATCATTTTATTAAATTATGCAATATTTCCCTATAGGGACTTGTTTTCCATGGATTATACCTTAGCATTTTGTACAGTTCACTGGCTGTTTTCTACAAAGTCAACCTTTTTTGTTTTTCAGTATCATAAAGAAAAGTGTTGTAACACCAAACACAATGCTGTGCAACTCAACCAAAAAGCCTCCTATGACATGCCATGTTAAGTAAAATATTTATTTGCAGAGATTCTTATTATTGGTTTTGATTTACGTATTGGAACCAAATGATTGTGTTTTCAATTGATAATAATAATAATAATAATAATAATAATAAGGGAAGTCTTTCCTGATGCGTTTTGCTCAGAGGAGAAGGTTTTGCTTGGGAACCCGCAGCTATGAGGGGTCAAGCTTTCCTACTTTGACACATCATTAAATAGGAACTTGGTGTCTCCATAGAGATGGGTAATCCTTCCCAGGGGGCATTTTAGACATTCTTTCATATGCCTGGTTCAGTGTAATGCAATGCTCTTGCAGATTTGAATGCATGAAAGGATCTTTACTGTTTGGAATCTCTTAACCAGAGATGTCTAAGATTTGAACTGGTTCAAGAAACACATTCAAGGCACTTCGACAATTTAATTGCAAATGTGGAGAGGTTTCGATCAGAGAATTCCATTTGTTTCATGAAATTTGACAGCACCCATCCTTAGACCCTTTTGTTTAGGACAGAAAAACTGCCAAGGAAACTGGAAACATAGGGAAAAAGTTACTGCTGACGATGGAGACATGCATCAGTCATGACATATTTGTATTTTTGAAATACTTATTGCCATACAACAAAAAGGACATTTTAATTGTGCACAGACCCTATTGCATAATTGTTGAATGAGACTTAAATTTTACATGTCTTCTAAACCACATTCCACCGATGCAATGAGCCCTTTGCAGGATGAAATGTGTATCTAGGAAAACTTCAAGCAACTTCCAGGAACCACAAAACCACCTTTCTAAAACAAAGGCCTGGAAAAAGCACAAACACACAAGAGGAAAACATCTCAAATATCCCATTCACACAGAGGATAAGATACAAGAGTTTAGGCTGAAGCAAAGTCCAGATCAAAGATGTCTGGACTGAGGCCCCAAGTCCTGAAAGCTGAGAGGCACATACTGTACAGAAGATGTCAAAATGGAGACAACATAAGTACAGCATGTCATTTAAATATCCTCATGTTATTATTGAGGGTAGTCAAGGAATGAGAACATATTTTGGCCTTGTAATGCATTTGTGTCCCATCCCGTGCTTTGGTCACTTTATTGAGGAGACCACACCACATACAGTAGAAGTGGCCCCCTACCTTTCCATAGGGGTCTTTTGAAATGGCTTACAGTTCACAGCATGGGTTTTACTCTTTGGTTTTTCCAAGTTTGGTATGGGGCCCGATATAGTCCTTTTCTGAAAATGATTTATATGTTCTAAAATGATGCCTTCATGCCATACGACTGAGGGTACGAGAGTAAATATCTCCCCCCCTCCCCTCCCCATCTCCAAACACTTGAACCTCTCATGTAATGCCAGCGGAGTGCATGTTTGTAGTTCAGCTCACATCAACAGTCCCGATCCAGAAACAGGTTTGTCTCATTCAGCCAATGTGGAAACATATCACCCACCTCAAGGACACGTCTGGCTTTCATCCCTGCGACTTCAGTGAGACACTTGGTGCTTTGGCTTTCCAGCAGGTATAGGGAGACGCTGACAAGACACTATGTGCATACAGCGTGTGTGTGTGTGTAAGGTCATTTAATCAGTGACATTCAGGGGTGTTAGACCTAATGTAAAGGTCATTAACAATGTAGCTGGCTAAAAATACCGTGGCACAGACAAAGAATGTAATCATTCATCTTTAGGATTTCCCAATCACACATTTTCTTACAAAGAATAGGTTTTTTATTTGAAAATAAATAATAACATATACATCTGTGTAGTTTGCAATCAACATAAGCTTCATACCTGTGTCATTTCTGTTACTGGAACTTCTCCCCTTTGTATTCCACACACACACACACACACACACACACACACACACACGCACGTGCACACACACACACACACATACAGCCCAGCTGTTTGTCCTTCAGTTATGTCATATCTGGATTTGGAGCAACACGCAGTTCCTCATTACATGTGACCCTGTCTTTCTTTACCGCAGGACAAGCTATGGATTTTACAGTGACAACTCTATAACAAATTGCTTTACAGGGAGCAGGTGATGGTAGCGATAACACTCGTCATCCGGCCCTCCCTCTCCTTCTGTCTCGCTTTGAGCCAGCTCCAGCTGTGGTCTTTAAGAGGCTCAGTGTGGGGGCCCGAGATCCTATTCTAGACCCGTCTCATGGCCTGGGCTAATTTTGGATGGAAAAGAGGGGACAAGAGGGAGAAAAAAAGAGCGCAAGAGGATAAGAAAGAGATCGAACCATTACGAGGCACACACACAGAGGAGCGCTCAGATGACAGTGATGTGGGACCAGTGCAGAGACGGCAGCCGTCACTTATTCTGACAAGAAAATTGACAAGTTGACGTGCTGCAATTTGCTTTTGTTCAACATGTCTGAAACGAGAAGGTCGTAAATGTGTGGTTAAACTCATGACAGGCTACGTGCTCCCTCCTTGACCTCGGTTTTGTCATCTCATTCTCACAACATGACACTACAGCTATGTCACCATGTGTCTTATTATGTGTCTGCTTTTGCGCACCACAGTCATAAAGTACAACACTTACCAGATCTGCCCAGGAAGGACATGTGGTGGCTGCAGCTATCATTCTCAAGTTCAAGTTTATTTATACGTATAGTGCTTTTTCACAAGCATGTCTCACGCAACCTTACAGAGAAAATATCGAACAAATCCACATCAGAACAAATTGCAATAACATAAAAAAATCTGAATTGTCCTTTCCAGGAAAAGGAAAAAACAGATCCAACTTTCTGAGGTCGGCCACTTAAAAAGATTTGGAATCTACTGTTCTGAGATTTCTTTTAGGGGAAAAGTTAATTATTACCTCTCGTCATGTGGAATCCTAACAGAAGGAGAGGCAAGTTTCAGTTTGGGTCAAAACCGTAGCTTGTTTGAAAAAGGCAACATTTTGTAGTCAAGCAACCTTAATCCTCTAAAAGCAAGAGTTTGAATGAAGCCAGTGTTGGAGTTAAAGCATCCACATTTTGAACGAGGCATAAACACTACTCAAACAAAGGAAAAAAAGGAAAGCAAAAACCAGAATGTGTACTGTACAAGCTCTCATTTACTATTAGGTTTTCTCAACACAACAATCATACAAGCTTTTCAAAATCCAGACCATCATGTTGTCTGCTCAGCGTTGTGGATTGTCTCCCAGAAGCAGAGTACAGTGAACATCTATGCTGGCAGTGACAGCAGCGAGGATGTGGCCCTCACAGCTCAGCGACCTGAGCTGTGTTTATGGTGGTCGGGAAGGATGGGGCTCAGCTGGAGAACCAGGCGTGCCTGTGCTGGAATTGGGATGCGGCCCTGCTGTCCTACACTGGAATGTTAATTAGGTGAGCCGAGTTGAGAAGAGGTGACCCGTCCCACTAACCAGCCAACCCTTCCCCAACAACCAAGAGGGGATTTAGTGTGTCGGAGGTCCCAGTCACTGTGTGCCCTGCATGTATCTGGTATAGCATGATGTCAGGCCACCTTGACTGATTGAACATCTGTGTGTGTGAGAGAGGGGGACAAAGTCACTATATCGGGGACATTATAGAACACAGAAAATATATTTCTCGAGTAAGACATGTATTTCTGTTTTTCTTTTATGCACTTTCCCAATTCCAAACTTACTGTAACACCACTGCCCAATTTCTCTCCTAAGTTGCATCACTTTAACAACATACCACTAGAACACTGTTTATAGTTGAAGTAAACCAGGGTGCAACATAACAAACAGTTCAGTACACTTAAGGGTTTCACAACTTATCTTCACAACCAAGCACCAGCAAGATTGATATATATTCCTTTCAGCATCAAAATCTAGTCAGAGACCACATTCACACAAAAAAGAAATATAAAACATACCGAAATATAGTACACAGTGTATGTGTGAATAAAGCCACCAATGCAGTACTAACTCCGTACCTACAGTATATGCAGTCTTTGCAATCTTCTTAGCACCTCCACTGAAATCAGTTATTCTTTCTATTGTAATTGTTACTATTTAACAAGATAATAATGTAAATTCTGCATAAAAATAACTTATCTGTATTTTTCTGACACAAATCTGCCATAATATAGTATAGTATAGGCATGGTTTAATAATGCTGCAATATTACTTTATATCATAGTGCTCACAGATTCAGTGCATATTGATATTATATACTAAATATTAAATCACAGAGGGTAGAAAGGGTATTAGTACATGCCAAATATCAGCGGAGCAATTATTCATGCATTTCCTGCAAGCTGTGGGGGATTTATCAAATACTGACCTCTAGAGGACTCGCCCTGACTGTACAGTATACAACTGTTTTCTAAACACTGCTGTATATCCTCAGAATACAGAACATGAGCAGAATTATATTCATGGGAAGTCAGAAAATTGCAAATTGGTGTCCTTAATATGTACATCATTATCTGAGGATGCTAGATACTAGTTTCTAGTTAATTAAATGAGTATAATTAATTAACTTTCTCATTGAATATACATATCAGATTTTATAAGGCAAG